CCATACATCCATAACGTAACATATTCGAAGAGCTATCAAAATGTGTGTGCCACAACAAGCGGCCGATGCTTCGGTATGGCGTCGGACAAGGGCAAAAATTAAAACATGACATCGGATGGTCTCGTTCAATTCGTCCATTACGTGTGTACGACGGTTGGTGACCAGTTTACTTGGATTGGAGGACAGACTGGCTGCCCCTACTTCGTTGATGACCACAGCAACGCCCAATGCGACTTCTTTAGTATAAGACTCAAATGAAACTGAATAAACAAATTAATTCTATACATTGGTTGTCTCTTTTGCCAAAACTCCTGTTAGCATATGCTGCCAGAGCTCACCGCAGCCTACAAGTTGGATGAAGAAAATTCGGCAACCAACGTGGAAAATGCGATCGATTTTTGTCAAATCTGGGATATCTCGCTCGCGTTCATTGTTTTCTAAACGGAGTACTAATGGACTTAGTTTTTAACTGAGACAGTAGTTCGAGTAATAAATCGTTATTACATGAATCAATCCAAGTGGCATTTAATCTATAAAAATAAATAGATAAACCAGTAACGTCTGAAATAACATTTTTAACGAAAGATCTCGAATGTCTTCAAGCTAAATCAGACAATTTCAAAATAATATTAGTTCAGTACCATTTTTCACGGCAAGCCTGACAATTGACAATTGCGAAGATGGTACCTTAGAGGTCAAATGTGATTCTTTGATTGCAATCTATTGGCATTATTATGAAACTGTTCCTCTTTCAGTAAATACGTTCATGTACTATTGAGTGTTGGTAATCAGTTTGACACACTTCGAGCTAATGTTAATACAATTCAGGTCTTTATTTCACTGTCTCGTTTGATCTAGTTGTCGACTTAGTAATCATTGTGTTCTTCATACGTTTGTGTTGTTTTTTTTCTTGTCGTTCTCTTCATTACTGAAGGTCGTGTCTAGTTTGGTGCACGCGGCACTTGATGCACAATTCTCCTCCAAACGCCATTGTCCTCTGCGGTTAGGCCGGTTAGGTTTTTTACAGCATGCGACCACGAGGTCTTTTCCCGTTTACTCGACCAACAAGTTTTTCCAGATTGTTGGGGTCTCTACGCGCAATGTGACCAAAATATGAAAATAGGTTAGTATTCGCTGCAGGCATACTGTGGTTTGTGTTGTGTAGGAATATATATATTTTTTTTAAAGGGGCAAATGATGGAATGCTGCTTCCGCCCGGGTGAGGCGAGGGGGAGTGTCGGAGACTTTCTGACTAAAAACCACCCCGTTCCTATTTCTGCACTTCGAACTGAAACTCCGGCAACCTTTTATTTTTATAACCTTTAATTATAATTCAAAGGTGACTGACTGACTGACTGACATAGTGATCTATCAACGCACAAGCACAACCCAAACCACTGGATGGATCGAGCTAAAATTTGGAATGCAGGTAGATGTTATGACATAAGCATCCCCTAAGATAGGATTTTGATCATTTCCATCCCTAGGGTAAAATAGGGGATGAAACTTTGTATGATAGTTTGTCAGTTTTAAACCGATCGTAGTGAGACTTTGCATGCATAAAGCTACTATGAAATATATATTTCTTAAGAAAGGATTTTCATAAAATCCATTGTTAAGGGGATAAATTAGGGGAAAGTTTGTATAAATCTTCTTAGCCATTGAATCTATTGAATTTAGAATCATTGAATCTTTTAAGTTACTTCGGTAAAACGATAATTTAAGACCTGGGAAACGATGTACTACAGTTTTTATGACACAAGTCCTATGGAAACGGGAACTATTCGTCAAAGCCCCGGGAGTCTATCTCTTAACCACTGAACTTATTTTAGATAGATTCGGTACAACAAGAATAGTTTTTATCATTCAAATCTTACGAGAACTTAAGAAACCTTAAGAAAAAATCCCTGCGGGCTTATTGATTTATTGAAATCACGACAAATTTATTTGACAATAAATCTCATTTAGGCACTATATCGGTTCTAATGAATTCTGCCAGAAGTCTTTTACGCGGACGAAGTCCCAGGCAACAGCTAGTATTGGTAGCTAATAGGTGTCGTTGGTCGTGTCATAGCGAAAGTACGAATGTTCCGAATCGGACAAGTGAAAAATGTAACAAGTAATAAAATAAAATCGATTAAGTACCTGTTCATTGCAGCGCGTAGATCAGCAGAGATGGGACTCACGCGCAAATCTTGAGCCGTCTCCACGTAGAAGTATCTGAGTTTCTGAAATAGATTTATATTATTCAATTAGTTATCTACAGTTTCCATTCAGTAATAGGAATAAACTTCTTAAAATTCTGTGTCAAGTCTCTATCTGTCAAAAACAAAGATCGAGTCATTCACAGATTTTATATTTCAGAATCAGAATCAGAATATTTTTATTTGTAAACATAGGTATGTGAGGTGTTACAGGTAGGTAGATTCTCCATGTTTTGCCCAGCGGCGTACAAATATTACATATTTATTAAAATTATTTAACATTGTCATCATTCAAAAATTAATTGACACTTGTAATTGTAAATTAAATTGAATCCGATTAAAACCCATGTCATACAATACTATTGTCAAATAAAATTACGATCATCAAATAAGTCATAAGTAATGTCAATATTTACACGATTTAACAAATTGTCTAGAGAGATTAATTTTCGTGTCATATTATTTATCGTTAAATATAACATTAACAGATATTAATACGCATATACATATCATTACAAATAAAATAGATTTAATTCAATAAAATGTCAAAAACGATTAAAGTTACATGTCATATAGGCCAATGTCAAACAAAATTCAAAAACATCGAAACAAATGGGGTTGTACGCTATTGTCTGAGGCAGTAATTATACAATTGTCATCCAAATAGGCCTTTACTGAGTAATAGCACTTATTTATTAAAATTTTCAATAGTCCTTTTTGTTGCTCAACTAATATATTTGATTTCTCAAGGTAGTTATACAATGATTTGTAAATGACTTTCTCAAATATTTTTAAATCTATAAGTAAAATATTTTTGACTTATAGATCTGAATATAGATCTATAAGTCAAAAATTTTGAATGGAAATCTGCATCATGAGCAGAATCTACAGCTGGCTGACGAATACTACTAGTCGAGTGACCTCGTCGAACTGTTAAATTAGTCGTTACAACATGATCTACTTACCTTAACATGAACAGGTCGGTCCAGGTTCAATTCCTTGGCCTTATCAGCGATGACTACTAACTTAGTGAGTGGTATGAGGTCTGAACAATGTCTGCTGATGAAGCCGATGGAAGCCATCGACTTCTCCTTACCCGTGCGGAGAGCTGAACCTGGGTTGATAAGAAGATTGAAATGTAACGAATTCTAAGACCCCGGGTGATTCGCCAAAAAAAAAAAAAACAAATAATTAACGGCGTCATTATCCTCAAGCCACAGTTAACAATTCTGCTGATTAAAATACAAAGTTTAGTTTCAAAAAAGTGAGCCATGTCACTGCTCACCCAATGCAATAAAATACAGATGCTAATAAGTTACTGCGATGCTTAACAACGCGGGAAGATAATGATTTGTTAAATAAAAGTTAAAGTTTTTTGAAGAAACACCCCCCATCCTCCACTGGCCAAAATAGACTTGACAAGAGTACCAATTAAAAAAAAATGTCTATGGGTCGCAAATCACTCGTGTTCTCACTTAATATCTTATAATCAGCTCACCATTATTTTAAAAATTGGAAATCCTAACAACCAGTTTGCAAAGCAACATTTAAGTATCTACTCCACAAATTTTAAAATACTTTCATAAAATATTAAAGCAGAAAAACGCATACCTTTAAGGCTGGTGTATCCAGAGGTCGGGTTCAGAGCGTACAGGCCGCAGAAGAACGCAGGCATACGAGTAGACCCACCGATATCCGAACCTGGAAATTATAACACACATAATGAATTACATTGAAATTTGGTTTATTCGGCAAATAAGAATAAAAAAATCTACATAGTTATTTTATCTTGCATTATAATTGTCTTAAGACATGTTAAATTAATTATTTACCAATTAATTATGCGACCCTCACTGCGTTGGTTGTCATTATGAGTCCCTGGTGTCGCTCGAAAGTAGTCGAGTTAGGTCGTTGAATAGTTAGGTAAGTATGTGAGAGCTACAATACGGAGATTGATTTGTTGGTTGACCAAACAAAATACCTGCTAGAGCAATAAGTATGTTGGTAGTTGTACGTACACAGAGAGATGGGCGCAGTAATACAGGCATGTAGAGCGGCCTCGCCCCCGCTGGAGCCCCCGGGGGTGCGCCCGGTGTGGTGCGGATTGTTTGTCTGACCAAACACGAAGTTACGGCTCTCCATCCTGTAATATAAATGTGGGGTGTAGGCTAGATCAATGGGAAGAACCTAAAGTCTAACAGTGGACGGTATACAAGAATATGATATGGAGTTTAAACAAGGTCGTAATGGGAGCTACCGTATTTTTTGATCACTAGATGACACAAATGTAGGAAAAGCTTTTTTGTCCAATCACTCATCAACATCATCATCAACAGCCTATAAATCCTCTTCTAAAGAGCAAAGCGTCTTCTCATACAGAGAAGGTTTGAGCATTAATCACCACGCTTGCTCAATGCGGGTTGACGATTTTAAACGTATAATTAGAAATTATAAGCCCAGGTTTCCTCACGATGTTTTCCTTCACCGTTTGTCAGTGGTGTCAAGATAATCTTAGGAAATACATATAATTCGGAAAAAGTCATACATTGGTACTTGCCGTTGGTAGGTCTCGAACTCGCACCCTCATGCATGAGAGGCGGGGACCATAAACTTAAGGGTCACCGCGACACTGAGTCACGATGATGATTTACTGATGACACTCACCACTTATTAATCTCAGGTACATTAGTAACTGCCACGAGTATGGCGCCGGCCTCCTTGACGAGTCGCACGCACTCCGCGTCCTTGTGCGCGCGCACATGGCGCCGCGACACGACGCCCAGAGTGTGCAACATGCCTTGTACTGCATGGCTTTCCTTAGCCGTGAATGGAATGCCTAGGGGAAATTAAATAGGAACTTGAATATGAGCTGCCCAATGGCGTTGTCCATGAGTACTCGCAAGACTAGAGGAGTTACAAGTGCGACAACAAGCTTTAGGGGTATTGGGTAGTTTCCAGGGTATCAAAATTAAAAATCTAATTAGTCCGTCAGTTAGATAATGAAAAAATATTAGACACGTATTTTTTTATTTTCTCATATTAAGTTGCAATACTTAGATAAAATGCCGCTAAGTTTAGGCGTGGGAGGTCGTTACGTCATAACGTGCTACAAAATGACACGCTGTGACGTCACACGATATTTAAAATTAATATATCGTCGAAAGTATTTAATTTTGTGAGAAAAGAAAAAATACGTGTCTAAAGTTTTAAATTAATCTACCAGACAGACATTAAAATAAAATTTAGGAAACTACCCTATTAGGGAATTGAAGGTTGATTGGGGACGAGAGGAAATGGGAGGGCGGATTAGGGCTCCGATAGCCTCATTCATACGTGATACACAATGCATAACAGAATTTTCTGCTATCTTCTAAAAGTTCCTAAAAATACTCAATTTCCTTCCTTTGCTAAAATTACAGACTAATTTACAAATTATTTTAACAAGCTATGCACATTGCGCACAGCGGAACACTTCCCTTTGAAAGTGAGTGTGTGCCAAATGTCAAACGAGCTGTGAGCTAGAAAGTAAATTATATAATTGTTATTATAGCTAATTAGACGTGTGTATGGACAGGCAGTACAATTACTTATGTGTTTTATAATTTATTTGTTTTTTAATAAGTATTAAAATTCGGGCATAACGCCCAAAATGAATTGCGTAATAATTTTTTGTTACTTTTGCTTTATTTAACAAAAAGTACCACAGCTCAAAATTATTTCAAAATACAATTAAGTTTATTTTTTAGTGAATGCACTTTTTCGAGATAAACAGTATCATAAGATAAAAAGCTCAGGGTATTAAAGTAATAAAGTATAATTATACCAAGTTTCATCGCAATTTGACCGGTAGTTTTTGCGTGATGCGTGAACATTGTTGGCATTAGTATCGATCCCTAATCACCTCATGTTAGTTATTTTGCAAATTTTCGAGACGCGCGGCCGCGCGTCAGCCAAGTTCAGCAAACAGCGCGCGCCACAGTGTATCTTTACACGAACCACTTCGTGCCACTTTTGACCCCTCTATAACTCAAAATATCATGTACAGAACTGATCTCTCTATAGATTTATTATAAGTATAGATTTGGGATAGCGTGCGTTGTCAATGCCACTACAATCTATCTATATTCATCCAGATCTATACAGCAGTTTTTGAGCGAGAAAAAATTACCTATAAACACAATTACAACATTAAAATGGAAATAAGATACCTACCTAAAAACGGTTTCTTCTGGAAATAGTCATCAGGCAGTCCGCTTTCAATCAGCTTGTCGACTTCGCGCGCTTCTTGCAGGGCATCTTCGTATCTCTCGTCCGTCACCGCGTTTATTATAGGATTTACCTGCGAACAATGATATATTAAATATTTAATTATAAGCAAAAACCCGAGACGCCTTTCTGCGTTTGATAAAACGCGCTAATCTCCAGAATGATTGCTTCAAATTGAGGAAGACTATATTTTTATGGGGTAAGCCGGTAAACGAGCTGGCGGATCACCTGATGGTAAGCAATAGCGGCGTCGCCCATGGACACCTGGAACACCGGAGGCGATACAAGTGCGTTATCGGCCTTATGGAAATTGGGAATTTGAGGATTAATTGGACTTCTGGTAACCTCACTCACAAGACAAAACACAACGCAAGCGTTGTTTCACGTCGTCGGTTTACTGTGATGCCGTGGTATCGCATCGGTCGAGTGCCCCTTAGTGCCGAATTATGGCTCTCTTACACTTAATATGCTGTAAAACATTATGCTACGATAAATAGGGGCCAAGTAGCAAGTGATACCGCTAGTAAGCTAGTCTTCTTATAATGAGGGACTCTGCCTAAAAAAAGGTTTTTTTTTTTAAGGGGGGAAAATCATCGAATGCATGTCTGCTCCCGCCTGGGTGAGGCGGAAGGGAATGTGAGACTCTTACTGACTAAAACCACCCCGTTCCTTCTCCTGCACGTCGAGTCGGAGCCCCGGTTACCCGTTAGGTTCTCCGCGACCGTTAGGTTCTCCGCGACTCAAAAAATGTATAGGAATTCACTACGAGTATGTGTGAAGGGCAGTTAGTAAGATAATGTTTCTTGCATAACTAACGTGATTGGCTGCTGAATACAATAACACTATAATATGAATTAAACAGAAGTTAACTACGCTTCAGAACAATGCATTGCATTAAATTCCATGTAATGTAGGTACTTATAATATTTTCTTCGACTGTAAATTTTTTTTTTCGTCGTCACTCGCCCTGAATCCGCGATAATTTGGCGTATGTTTTTTCTATATGGATAAATAGATTTCTTTTGGTATTGAGGAGTTCAAATACTTTTTGGGAAAAGAAGAAAATGAGATAAAGATAGATTTTTATATATACAATTAATATTAACTATTACTAAATGAAAATATATACAACTTAAAATATAAATAACTATGAACTAAAATATTTACACCTTAAAAAAAAAAGCTATAATAAGGCATCAAAAAAATTTTCCTCATCATTATCGTGAGGATTTTTTTTTGATGCCTTATTATAGCTTATTTATTTATTTATTTATTTTAAGATAAAGATAGATAGTTAATTTTGCAAATATGGGTAATACAATTTCAAGGAGGTAAAGAGGAATATCAGATTCTTACTACCTAAAGACCATTTTATAATTATCTGTTCCGCTAGCAAATCGGTTTTGGTTGGCAAATCGTGCTTAACAACAATTTTATTTATACTATGTGTAGCATTGTGGGGTTACTGTAATTACGAGTAGGTACTGTTATTTTAATCGAATCTAAGTACATTATTTTTAGAACAGACCTGACTACAACAAAGTCCTTGTCAGTACAATTTCCTTCGGTATCTGATACGAAGATAATCTTGTTAAAACTGAATTATACAATTACATCATATTGATAACATTTTGATAAAAAATATTGTTATATTGAGGAAAACTATACATTTTTGACTGTCAACGTCAAAACTTTGAGGTTTTTGTATAATTGTAGACAAACATAGACTGGTTAATACCGTAAACGGACATACGACACACGAAACACGGGTTCAAAGTTCACTTAGGTAGATCAAAGTGTACAATTTTCGGACGATGAACTCAAATCATAAGAAAAAAACTAACTACTACTTAACTAAGAGTAATTTAGCCCGAAGGAGCACCTAGAACCCTTAAGTTAGGTGTCACTTGTTGTTTTTTTATATTAGATGGAACTGACATCTGACCACTATCTCGCCTGGTGGTAAGCGATGATGTGGCCTACGATGGAGCAACCTATTCATTTGGGCCTTGAAGACACCCACGTCACCCAGGACATACTCTTCAGGAAATATAGACTCTGGCAAAGAATTCCACTCCTTAGCACAAGGAAGCTTGATGCGAAGCGCTTCGTGCTTGTTAGTGGGATATCTGCCATGAATCGGTGAAGGTTCGCCGATTGTCTTGTGGTACGATGATGGAAAGGACTAGGGGGAATCAAGTTGTGCAATTCCGCCGCACAATCTCCGAAATGTAACTTGGTGAAAACCAAAATATCGTTAAGTGTCACCTACATAATATCTTAGACATTCCCTACTTAAGAGAGGGTGATGACACGGGAATTAGACATCATTAGGGATTGCAATGATGGCTACCGTATTTAGGCGCAATTGTAGTAGGAGGTCCTTTTGTCCAATCACGGCAGCTGTCAAATATTTGACGTCCAATGGTGTGACACTAGCTGATCCCCTATTCGATGAAGAACAAGAGGTTCACGCGAGCGCCATCTCGTGAGTAACAATATGGTAGGCCCCATTACGGAAGGCCTAAGTTTGGGGGAGGCCTGTTTTGTTTTGTTTAGCGGTGGACGTCCTATGCCTGATATGACGATGATAATGATGATGAGATATCATTATTTTATTCTATCCATTCCTAATTGCTTACCTGTTGAATCCTCTCAATGCACGCCCTCACCAGATCCTCAGACTTCAGCTCTTTATTCCTGATCTTCGCAGCCAGGGCCACAGCGCACTCCGCAAGCATAGCATGTCTCTTCTCCAAAGCTGGTATGGGTTGCCGCTTCCCCTCCCAGAAGTAACCGTAGACCAGGTCAATAAACAGGTCCAGGTACGTCCGAAATATGAGGAACACATGCTTGATCATGTTGGAGACCATTCCGCAGAATATCTTCCTCGGTTTATTGCTGGATAGCTGTGGGAAAGGAGTTATTTTTGTACCTTTTACTTTATTGCTAATAAGTATAAGAATAAACGTAACATCACACCCTTTATCCCCGAAGGCAGAGGTACACATTACTGCACTTAATGCCACTGTACAATGTAACACCCACTTGGGGGTAAGTCTATTGGTACATACCGGGCACAATTCCAGACTTCGTGCTACTACTGAGATTTTTTTAAATAACCTAGTCATACTTTGCACGAACCAGGAATCGAACCCGGGACGACCAACGAGGCAGCATAAGAATGTTTTATTTTTTATGGAATGTATTTAATTTTTTTATGGAATAGGAGGCATACAAGCAGACGGATCACCTGATGTAATATTATTGTAGGTTAATTTGTTCCAACTATTCTATAATTTTGTATGCTGATAATAGCTAACATAGAGTTAAAAATGTTATTTAAGACCGACCTCATATAATTTATTTTTATTATTATACCTTAAGACACGAATAGACTATGGCACAAATGTCAGACATTATATAGTAAACAGTACAGATACTGTTCACACATATGGATAGTAAGCTGGTAGGTGATGCAACACTTATTATAGTGTCAATATAAATTTTTATAACTACAGACACTCGAGTTTACATAAAGACATTCGATTTATACACTGAGAGTATAGCATATAGTGTCGCAGTCTATTCGTACCTTTATATAAATCTTACCTATTTTTACATTAAGTGAATTTAAAATTTTAAATACAAAATATAATTAACTACAGATGCTAACTGAATAAAGAAGATTACAAAGATCTAATAAGTTTCTTTAGGATATCAGAGAAAATATTAAGTACGTAAATACAATTGATTATCATCAATAGGCTATAATGCCCACTGCTGAGCAAAACCTTTTCTCACAAGGAGAAGGTTTGAGCATTAATCACAACGCTTTCTCAATGCAGGTTGGCGATCACAAACTATATATATTACAAATAGTTATAAAGAAATTATATGTCCAGATTTCTTCACAATATTTTCCTTCACCTTTTGTCAGTGGTGCCTAGATAATATTAGAAAGTACATATTATTTATAACTCTGAAAATATCACATTGCTATTTGCTGTTGGTAGGTTTTGAACCCACACCCTCATGCATGAGAGGCAGGCGTCTTAAACCTCCGGGCCACCACAACATGTAGATATAATTATAAAGCATTAAAACAATATTTCACAATATTTGTATTAAATGTTGAAAAGTTTCCGAGTAGTCGTCGAGTAGTGAGAGTGATCAATTACGGATTGTTTGTTTATTGATGTATAAATAAAGTTTTATCAAGTCATCGTAATTAATTATATTCACACATGTCATACCTACACCGCATCGTTTACAACCTACCACGACATTTGGTTTAAAATAAATGTGACTTATAATTATATCTCCGATAACAGTTTCCTGTTTGCTTTTTTTCATAAAATTACCACATAATATTCATAAAATAATGATAAATTTCTCTGCCATACAATACATTTCCTGGCTTTTTATTATAAATAAATAGATTTTTTCAACATTCTATTATTTTTTTCAAAGAACACACAAACTTTTATTCACTAGGAACCTTTTCTAAAAAATTTATAAATTAAAAACCTTTGAAACTATGTACCCTAGAAGAACAATTTAAAGTTATCTACCATCGCAAAACAAATATTAACTGCTATCTAGAAAATATTTATTAAACGATTATACCCTTTGCAATGTCACCACAAAACAGAACTTTGGTATGCTGCATTAATTAAATTAATTTTCAAGTCATCTTCCAAACCACACCACTTTTACAATAACAAAAAAGATTAAAGATAAGAATAACTATTAAATTAAAACTATTCAACCATTTAAAACTATACTTTATTTTACCTTTCCTCTCTGAAAATATTTAAAATAAGAACACACAACACTCTTGGTTCACTACTGGAATATTACTAGTCAATATACCACAGATTATAATAAATACTTAAGCATTCAATGATACAGCTAATCAAGAAATTAAGTATAAACTTTTTCAAGTAATATGTTCAGAACTTTACCTATTGTCTCCACACTAAATTTATACAACCAAGAAAGAAGGTTATATGCTAGATAGATATGCAACCTTCTTGAAACTGGTTGTAAGAGCAAAGATCATTGCCCTATTCAAGTGCAAGGATAAAAGCTAGGCTTGTTGCCTATGCATTTGCAAGTTTGTTTACTTTGTTTTTTTTACTGTGCAGTTGAGTAACATTCCAATCGCTTTAATAAAATCCTATTAAACTTACCTCGATTTTATCCTTTTTGTCACTGTTAGTGATACTCATTGCTCGTGTAACACTTATCAGCACAAGTTACATTTAATTGTATGTTAATTTTCGTGTAAATATTCTACGGTAACTTCGATAACACTTGTTTACGTATTTTATTCTTCTGTCGTTAGCTAACACACAGCGGTATGATGTGAAAGGGATAATAGGTAATGCAGAAACTTTCTAATAAAACACTCTAAGTAGCTACAGCTATACTTCAAGTGACGGACATCTATTTTGTTTGCTTTACGATCGTAAATGTTTCCTATTAGATTCAACTACATATTTCTTGTAGTGTGAAGTGTGTTTAATATAAAATCGTATTTATTTCATCATTTAAGATATCTAATAATTTTAAACATTTTGTTTACGTTTTGTACGATGAAAATGAATGGAAAATTCTATTTTTTTTTGTTTGCGAGTTGAACTGTCAGTCTATATGTCAACCTTTTGTCATTAATGTCAAACAAAGATTTGGTCTTTTCTAACATGACAATGACAGTCATTTTGGGGTTGTTTACAAAGATGGATATAAATTTTAAAGAACTTCCAGAATGAATTATTATGAACAAAGTGAATTATTAATTGTATTTCAGCTAGCGATTAAATAATTTTCTACTATTCCACTTAATCTCATCAATGTCGCCATTACTCTCTTTGCCATTGATAGAATGAATTTCATGGCATTCATTAGTACTACTCAGTATTTATCCATGTTGAATATTTATTCCAAAAATCGTCCCTCCCTATAATACAACTCATGAAAGGTGGACCCTTAGGGATAGACAAAGGTTAGTGTACCTCTGCTTCCCTTCAAGAATTAAAAGGAGAGACGTTATAATCCAGAAATCTTTTTAAATCTCTGGCTTTTATCTTACTCCCCGCCATCTTGCGGATAATTAATAATATTGTACGGGCGAGCAAAAAAGAATTTTATAACATGTATGAAAGTGCAATAAATTACTCATAATCTGTAAAATTTTAATTGTTCTTCTTATCCGTCGTCTGCGCAGAATTTTGTTCCGCAGTACCGCACCGGGGCGAATGCTTTTACGCGGTCATTTACCTATGATACATATGACTTTCTAATATCTAAAGCGCGGATAGATACATTGCAGTCTACGATCCATATATAAAACTAGTAGTATTAGGATTAAGAGTTGTGTCATCTAACACCTTATTTTTATGAGTAACAATAATTATAATTATAGTTAGAGGAAGCGTCGTTTAGGAAAAAAGGCAAGTGGGTACTTGTAAAATGATTCGTCCGAATACACTTTGGACAAGGTTAGACTAGACTTCTTCGAGCATACGGCACGTCGCCTTCCGCGGTGCCTCAAAGAGCCATCAGACCACCACATATAGGGCATGGGGCCCAACAGGGCCGATGCCGATTTGGAGTCGCGGAGAACCTAACGGGTAACCGGGGCTCCGGCTCGACGTGCAGGAGAAGGAACGGGGTGGTTTTTAATCAGTAAGAGTTTGACACTCCCTTCCGCCTCACCCAGGCGGGAGCATGCAAACGATGATTTTCCCCCCTTAAAAAAAAGACTAGACTTCATACGGAAGGATTGTATTAAGCTCACTGATGTAGCTCCTTTTCTGGAGTATGGTAACCAATGCTAGGTCTAGGTAGGTACTTGTTTCTAAAGATCTGCTACAATTAAACTGTCAAACACCGAGCGGTCATCGGTGACCGCAACCTATTGTTCTATAATTGTGTCTATAATGACGGTACTCAACGAGTAGTAGGTAGAGACTAGAGGTAATTATTAATTATGTAGTGTAATTTGATAAATATACCTATATATTTTTTTTATTTTCATTAGTTATGTAGGTAAGTATGTATGTCCAGAGTTCCACACTACTCGGATCTTTCATCAATTCATTTTTCCTATTTATCTAATTACACGATTTAATTCTTGCACTTAGGCCTAGGCCACTTAGTAGCCACGCACTAGACACGACTCCATTAGATGACTAAATAAAAAATGGCCTTCGACCTTTGATAAAATAAAAAATACCCTTTGCCTCTTTAAGATCCGTTAAGATAAAGATTCTGCTGACTGCTTATCCCATGAGCATGACATATAGACTTATAGGTCATGCCGATATCATTATCCATGTCCACCACTGATAAAATCCTAATAATAATGTCCTATCTACACGTAATCAGATCAATTTTTGTGTTAATAAAAATGTACTAGGTAATATGCGCGTGGCGAAGTACCTAAATAAGCAAGAATAAGAATGTTTATCAACGAAGTATAGTAACTACAGGTTACAGGTGACAATTAAATCTTTAAATTCAAGTACATTTATATGGTATATTGGTTATTACCTGCGTTGTTAGTTAGAATTTAGAAATATAGCCTCAATGAATTCTAGGAATCTCGGTTGCGATGTTGACATATTATTGACTGGTGACAGTAACCTGAATAGCACATTTTTCGGCAATTATGATAGCAAAACTGCCGAAAACTGCCGAAAATTGGGTTTTGCTTTAATGCCCTATTTAGGTTTACCCACATAGTGTGACGTTAAGTTATTTAGCAAACATGAATACGATTGAAATAAATAAAAACAAGCAAATAAAGGAGCGTTCGACATGTTTGTTTTTTGTTATAATCGATGCTAGTCGCCGGCTGGAATCGATTTACGATTATGTAATATTGTTGAACAAAGGTCAACGAATGCACATGGTTCTTATACCTACCTAAACTAAAAATGATAATGTAATGATGGATGCGGCCGTTCACAATGTGATTTAGTTGTATCCGATACACGCGGCTGTAAGCACGCGTTCCACTGTCTGTGATTTAAAAAAGTGTTGTTTGTTTTTTTTGGGAGTCACTTTCAATTTGAGCGGGAAACGGTAAATATTTTATTTATGTTTTTATTATCAACTAGCGGCCCGTCCCGGCTTCGCACGGGAGGACTTAAGATTTTTTACATAGTTTTACGTTATATTTATATTTGTTCTCAGTTTTTTTTTAATTTAGGAAGTATTTACCTTTTGAAAATATTTTTCCGGACTTCATCTTTTTTATGTATTTTTGAAATAGTAGGTAAGTACTTACCTAATAGGTATCTTTTGGATGAATTAATAATCTTAATCTCTCTAAAGTAACCGATTGAACAATTCAAAAGTTATCTATAGCAAACTTTTATAAGGATTGAACCATTCATTAATACGATTGTTATGGGTAAACTATAAAAGGTAGACATATGCTCTCGCGGACTTTTTTAAAAATAATGTTAAGATGAACAATTCATCTATAGAGCATTTTTGTATAACTTTAACTATATGCTCAGCGCACGCCACGGAAGGCCTAAGAAACGATACTTTTCCCCCGTTTTTAAAACATTTTTGGTTACTGCTCCACAACTATAGGACCTAGCGTGATATTATATAGCCTATGTTAATTCCGAATAATGCAGCTTTCTAATGGTGAAAAAATTATTGCAATCGGTCCAGTAGTTTTTGAGTTTATTCATTACAAACATACAAAAATACAAAAATACAAAAATACAAAAATACAAATCTTTCCTCTTTATAATATTAGTATAGAAGTATAGATGAAGAAGTGGCAAATAACGTTATTGATGTTAATTACACCTATTTATATTCTTGGATACCTAGGATATATGTGGGTATAAATAAACCTTACTTACTAAGTTTTTTAAAACTCTTGTAACTATATAGAATAAGAAAGCCTATCTGTTGTAACCTTTTTATTCAACAATTAAATATGTAGGTAAGTATTAGTATCTAAGATTTCGTTGAAATGACATAACATAACATTACGCCTTTTATTCCCGAAGGGGTAGGCAGAGGTGCACATTATGGCACTGTACAATGTAACACCCACTTTTCACTATTTATGTTGTGAGTCCTATGTAATACTAATAGGGGGTGAGCCTATTGCCATATACCGGGCACAATTCGTTGAAATAAGCTAGGTAAATATTTTTTACGTGAACGTAGGTAGAAACCTACATAAATGTGTGCCTAATTACGTAAGATACCTAATGTTCTCTATGAAACTATGTCTGTCTCAATGTATGAAACGCTATGATACTACAATTTTTCCATTATGACTAAGTCTAAGTGTGACATAAGATGAATAATTGCCTAAGGGTTTGCAGCTAGGAATCCTAAGCGTGCTTGTTTGTATGTCGAGTACCGAGGTACTTTTTTTTTTTTTTAAGGGGGGAAAATCATCGAATGACTGCTCCCGCCTGGGTGAGGCGGGAGGGAGTGTCAGACTCTTACTGACTAAAAACCACCCCGTTCCTTCTCCTGCACGTCGAGCCGGAGCCCCGGTTACCCGTTAGGTTCTCCGCGACATGTCGAGTAGGTACTTACCTACCTACGGAAATGAGTCTAGCGTAACATCTACGTACCTACTACATGTTACTACAATAATTGTCATTAGGTGGTATGCCTTGGCCTTTGGCAGGGTAGGTATACAGTATCCTAGTCTTGAAACTAAAAATTATGTAAGTTGTGAACTCATGACGTACTTACATACAGCTACCTAGGTAATTCAGACACGATAGTTACAGTCTCACTAAGGAAGTAAGGGCACTGGACCTATATAAATAAATAATAAAGTATCATCAACAATACCGCCATTTTGAATTCGGTCACGTCGGCAGCCGGTCTTACCACGTACTATGCATGTATACTTATATAAATACAGAAGCACGTGCAAAAAGGATGCACTATATTGACACTGCTGTTTGACATGGTCGTGAACATAAAATAACGTCTAATTTCTGCTAAATATATTTGTTACTCGAAGACGTAGATAATAGGGATGATGACAGGGTATGAACATTAAAAATGTAATTAGTCTAGTAAAGAAAAAATATTCGACACGTATTTTTTTATTATTTTGTCCTATAAGAAAACAATACTTAAATAAATCGAATCAAAGTTTAGGAGTGGGAGCTAAGACCCTTTGAGTATAAAACGTAGGTACCTACACAAAAGTGACGTCACGCGATATTTCAAATCAATTATCGTCGAAAATATCTGTAACCGTAAATAATAAAAAATACGTGTCTAATGATTTGAAATCTCCTATATGCACAGATATTAAAATAAAAATTAGTCATCAGCCCTATTGTCTTCGTTAAAAAAAAAATAATTATCGGGTATATGTATATTCAGTTTAAAATTTTGGTACTTTCTTACATGTTTTTGGGGTTATCGAACATTATATTACCGACAGTAATTAAGGTGCATTCTAGCATAACTCATAAAACTAGTTACAACTTTAACTAGCAATTAGTTTTTCGGGGTACAGAGTAATTCGTGGTACTTACCTATTTAAAAATAAAAAGCACGAATAGACGATAGAATCGAACGGTCATTTTTGACCGCTTCGGACCATAATTTATTATTCGATAGTGTGTACAGCGGCCCGTCGCATG